TTGACACGGACGACGACGACGGACGACGACGGACAATCACTCATATGATAAGCTCCGCTCGACAAAGTCGACAGCGGAGCTAAAAATCGTAGTAAGTGACTACAAAATGCAACAGGCTTTATGAATAAAGGGCCATTTCTTGAGAGGGGGTTGGGGAAGGGTTGGTTGAATGAAACATTCTCAATAATGTATTCCAAAAAAAAATCACAGCAGTAAATACTGTAAAATATTTAAGCTGGAATTAATTTTCACTGAAAAGACTTTTTGGGTGTCTTGTCTGGAATTTATTTTCCCTCAAAATTGACAGCATTTTACAACAAGTCATTTATCCGATTATAAGCCAACGTTGGCATCATCCAGCATTTTGATTGGTTAATTAGCGATTTAACCTATTAGGTCAACTCATGCAAGAGAAGGGACATGGCAAATACCCTACAGCATTGAGCGTTTATATATATTTATTTTTTGTACGTTATTATAATCACTGCTGAGTAATAATCAACAATTGTGAAACGCAGCATGACCGGATTGCGCAACCGTGATCATTTGCTGCTACACAATGCAGTTGTGTTTATGAATAAATTACATAAATTATCGCTCAGGAGAAGTTTTAATTTTTATCCGCTTATAAGCCCATCCCTAATTTTTCGACATTTTTTTGGCATTTTTCCTATAGAATGTAGACACCCAGTGCAATATCACAAAAATATAGCATGATGTAATTGATGGTGATAAGGTGACAGATGTATAATAATGGCATGGATTTACTTACTGTGTGACAAGAATCAACATGGACAGGTTTAATGCTCTTTGCATGTCATAAACTCAGTTCTTAAGCAATCCTTTTTGCGAATGCCAGGTAACCGAGGGAAAGATGTGTTTGTTACACGAAGCTGGGCGATTAGATGCTGTACACAAACATCGGTTTGCGTCACCCACACATCACAAGTTTAATTTGATTTGATTTGATTTGATTTGACACACCGGTAATATTTACCATGTCTTATTAACTTTACCTTGATGGAACTGCCAATCTAGTTGGTTTCAAGTCTTGATCCTCCATGGCCCT